CTCCCCCTGCTTGTGTTCCCTCTCTCACTGTGTCTCTCTCTGTCAAATAAATAAATAAAATCTTTAAAAAAAAAAAACAAAAAAAACCATCTGGTTAAACATTTTCCCCCCAAGAATGTAGAAAAGGCTTTAAATCAAATTAATTAGAAACATAAGCATTTTTGGACTCTGGTCCAAAAGGATTCCTCAGGGGATTATAGGAGGCGTCAGGGTGACTTTTGTTGCCTTCAGTTTAAGATTTGTGGGCAGCCCGGAGTCCCGATGGGAGACTTCAAAGGGAAGCACTGGGGGCCTCAGCTGTGCTTGCCCTCCCATGCTGCTCAGGCTTCTGGGCACATACACATCATGACACGTGGGCCTCCTGTAGTCTCAGATGTGGGACAGCCTCGCAGTGACCTGTGGTGTGAAATGACCACAGCCCAAGCGTGGTTTGCTCCTTCCTAACTCCCTCCTGAGCACTTGGGGCAGTGAGCCCCAACTGCCCACTGAGCTCTCTCAGGCCTGAAGGGCTTCCGTGGGTGGCGATGGCCAAAGCTGGCCTGTCACCTCTCCACAGTGCAGCAGTGGATGGCCACAGAAAAGCTGCAACTCTTCTTCCCAGATCCCTCATTGGCCTCTTTCTAGTGCTTTGGATGAGGGACAATAGAGCACTGTCAGTCAAACAAGTAAGAAAGAACGATGGGCGATTTCGTCCTCATCTCTCCATGGGATGAGTGGGACCTAGATGGTGGCACAGCTCCTGGGCCCACGTAACACGGTACGTACGTGGTGCGTAGAAGATGCTTCAGTCTGTAACTATTATGACTAATGACCGACGAGTTTGTCAAACGCCTCAAGGCATGGTCACAAAAAGCAAGTGCTGATAAACAGTTTATTTTCATGGTGATTCTGAAATGGTGATTTCGGTTTGGATGACTTCAGTGTCACTCCCCTGACCCTCTCTCAAGGATCATAGCAAGAAAACTGAAAGCCACTGCATCGACTCTCAGGAGACCAGAGACGTGGCATCCCACCCAGGAGGCCACAGCAGTGGCCTTTAGCAAAAACTGGAGAAAACGCAAATCCGGTCAGGGAAAATCTGAGACAAGAGGGACCTGTGTGTCTCTGTCCTCAACTTGACTTAACCCCTCCCCCCCCAAACTCAGGAAATAGATTTTGCTTCCTAGGGCACCGATCTTCCAGCACATCGTACTATAAACTTGAAGGCCCCAGAAAAGAAATCTAAGGGATGCTTTGACTCTGTTCCTGGTGTTTGGTCATTCTGTGATTGTTTTTCTTACCTGTTGCCGAATTTCTTCCTCCATTTTCACGGGTGAGCCCAATTCTGCAACTTGCTTGACACCTTCGCTCGCATAGCCTCCGTACTCCCACAGCACGTAATTCTTGGAGTGGGATCCACCAATGATTGCAGACCAGTGATTGGCCCGACCTGGGAAAGCCAATCAGGATGCAGGGATCAGTGCGGCTATGGCGAAAACGTGAGCCCCTTAAATGCTGGGAGGAAAGTGTAATTCGACAATCATTCAACTGGTGCGGGTAAGCACCTACTCTGTGTTAGGCCCTGTGCTCTTCAGAGATGAATAAGACCATCTGTGGAAGCAAGAAGGTCTTGGGGATATGCAGACAGGACAACAACAGATCCTGAGCGAGACACAGAGGCAGCCCAGAATGATGACTTCTGTCTGGGAGGGTTTCAGAGAGGGGGACAACTTCGAGGCTTTGAAAGGCTGATCGGATTTGTAAGACAGAATGGAGAGGAGAGGCTATTTCTGGCAGACTCAGAAGCATTAAATAACATCGTGTGTTTGGGGGGCCATAAATAATTCAGTATTGCTGTGTCACCAACTGTCAGGGGAGAGGTAGGAAGCAATGCCAGAGAGGTAGGAAGGAGCCTGCTCATGGATGGCTCTGCTTTCAATGCTTCAGGAGTTCGCATGTCATTTGAAAGGGTCTGAAACCACTGAAGGGTCCTGAGCAGGGCAACGGCATGATCACATTTGAATTTTAGATAAACCATCCAGGCAGCAGTGTGAAGAATGCATTAGAGGGAGCAAAATGGGAGTGTAGAGCTGTGATGGGAGAGCATGAGCAGGGAGCCAAGGGTAGAGGGATTGAGTGGGGAGTAGGCTTGGGCAATTCTCAGAAATGAGCAGGGTTGACTTTGAGCTGGCTTTTCTGTGCCTTCCAGGATGAGGGGCAGGTGAGCTAGCCCTGCGAGAGGATGGGACAGGCAGTCTGGATATGTGGAAGGCACTGGTCCACAGTGGTCCACTGAGGATCACGGGGGAGGGGACCCATCGGGGGTGCAGGAGGGAACCAGTGGGTGACGTGTGGGAGAAGAGAACAAGATCTGGACAGGACCAAGACAAAACTGACTGAGGGGTTTTCAAAGTGCCAGGGGGAGGAAGGAGAGGGACGGAGAGTCAACATCAGCACTGCACTGGGTTTGTTTCTGCATGTGATGAGTGTTGATGCACGCACATACTCACACACACACATACACACACACACATAATACATATATTATAAATATATACATACATGATACTTACATAATATAATATACATATAATACACACATGTATATACGCACATGTAATATATACATAAAATATACATATATAGCATATATATACACATGTATATATATTAATTACTGGTTAAGTAACATACAGTTCATCATAAGGCCAGTTCAGCTCTCAGCCATTCTTGGTTGGCTAATAACGCCCTGAGTTAAAGAACGTTTTCAGGCATAGTGAAGAGGAAAAGTGGAACTGGGTGGACACAAGGGACACATGTGACCTGGGGTGACAGAACTCTCCACTCCACCCACCACGTAAGAAGACCATTCTGAACGGGGCCTGATCCTGTTTGCATCAGCTCCCTGCTACCCTGGAGCCCTCTGCTGCAGGGGCACATCGAGAACTCAGGTGCCAAGCCCCCCTCCCGGACTGCTGAGGGCAGCCATGCCTCCCCGCCCCCGCCCCACGCAGGCAGATGACATCACTAGGTCCGCCTGCCCAATTGCTTGCTCATTATTTCCTCCACACCGGGGAAATGCAAACACTGTGTTCACCCATCAGTTCCCTAGAGAAGACAGATAGATATGTGGCCGGACTGTCCTAGCTGTCATCCAAGCCAGGAGCACTGCTTGTGGAGGGGAAAGGGCTGGGAGCCACTCGTGACCTTTGGTTCATGCTGTGAACCCAGGGAGACCAGCTTCAGCATTTCCTGTTCCCTCTGCCTTGTTCCACCGAAATGGCCCCTTTTCCCAGACCCATCCTACCTACAATTCTGTACCTCTGGGGCTTAGCACATGCTGTTCCCCGTGGCTCTCTTCCTGCTTGGCTTGGCCAACTCTCATCCCTCCTTCATGATTTACCCAGAAGTCCCCCAAGGTCCCCCTAGACTGACCTAAGTCTTGTCTCCTGTCTCCCCACAGCACAGATAACACGTATGATCACCGCTACAGGTCTGTTTCCCCACCAGACTGTCACGTCCCTGAGCAGACCTGTCTTCAGCACTGTGTCCCCAGTGCCCAGCACTGTGTCTGATGCACTGTGAGTGGTCAGTGCATGTTTTCAAAAGGATTTCATCCAAACAATCAAAAGGGAAGGTAGGCAGTATACGTGCTTGAAGCATTTGGGAGCAGGCTTGCACAGACTTGATCCAATGTGATTAAATTCAAGTCTCAGGTCAGCAGAGTTCCTGACACCTACTGGGCTCACACACTCAGCTCACCTGCATGCTGTTAAAAACCACCACCATCACCACCACCAAAGGAAGGCATTGGTCTTACAGCCTGCAGACAAGGATTCAAATGCTAGCATTGCCACTTTCTAGCTAGGTCAACCTGGTCAAATTCCAATTATTTCATTTCCCTGAGTCTCAGCTCCCACCTCTGTAATTCAAGGATGATAATGCCTATCTTACTGACCTATTATAAGAATTAAATTCCATTTTTAAAAGATGAGATAATATATGTGAAATCGCTACTGCCACACAATAGACACTCAATAATTACAATTTCCTCCTTTCCTGGTTGTTAGGGAGGCTACAAAAATGAGTAAAACATGAAACCTGCCTTTTATTCAGTATAGGAGATAAGAAATCTATGTACTGTGGGATAAGAGAAGAGACTAGGAACGAGCACAATCATAGCGAGATGAGGGGATGGACCCAGATGGATCTTTCTGATTTATTCATTCGGCTTCCATTTACTGTGTGCCAAGCACAGTGGCAGGTCCTGGCCACTGACAGGAATTGGATAGGTGCTTGTCCTGGAGGGATTCATGGTCTGGGGGGGGGGGGGGGGAAACAGATGGCTCAGCAGATTACTTACAATCCAGCATGGGCAGGGATATTATAGAAACAAGAACACAGAGCAGAAGGGATGGAGCAGCTAACTGCAAAGTCCCCAAATCCACAGAATCCAAGTCCAAAGGCATGAGTGCAGAGAAACAGGTGCCTCAAGAATGGGATCTGTCAGGGGCGCCTGGGTGGCTCAGTTGGTTAAGCAACTGCCTTCGGCTCAGGTCATGATTCTGGAGTCCCGGGATCGAGTCCCACATCGGGCTCCCTGCTCAGCGGGGGGTCTGCTTCTCCCTCGGACCCTTCCCCTCTCATGCTCTCTGTCTCCCATTCTCTCTCTCAGATAAATAAATAAAATCTTTAAAAAAAAAGAAAAAAAAGAATGGGATCTGTCTTTATGGTTTCTTACATTTGAATACAATGTCATTGTACCAGTCCAACTTTTTGATCAGTTTAGTTGTTAATTTCCTATACCGGTCTTGCAAATTACCACATTAATTCAAATTTCAACCCACTGAATGACATCAACCACATAATAGATATCTGACAGGTACTAGGCTAGGGGGAGGACCAGACTCTATCCTCCCTGGGGGGACGAGGCAGGAAACCATGGAAAACAATCTGCAACATTACAAAGGGTGATGACTTCAGGTGAGTGGCAGTCACTCGGGGGCAGAATGGTACAGGGAGTAGAGGCATTGGTGACCAAGAGCCAGAAGAACTGGACTCCAGGCCTCCCTGCATGACCATGAATCAGAGCCTCAGTTTACCTTTTAAAAATAGGGGTAATAATTACTAGTCGGACTATTGCTCAGAGTTGTGCAAATTAATTGGGCTGGTTTTGGAAAGAAGTATGAAAACTATAAAGAACTGTACAATGCGAAATTCTCAGTATTATTATGGATGGAAAGCATAATGAGAATCCACAAGAGGAATCCAAATATGATGGAGGAGCAAGGAAACCTTCCCAGTGGAAGGAGGCTCCCATGAGAAGACTGGCAGGACAGGAGAAGCAGGAATTCCAGTGATGACATATATAAGAGGATTAAACACCTATTAGGTGTCAGGTATAATGCTTTCTGAGGGGTAACCCTCACTACACCCTCATTCTCATTTTATAGATAAGAAAACTGAGACCCAGAGATGTGAAGGAAGCTGCCAAAGCTCACAGAGCTAGCAAGGGTCAAAACTAGGGTTCAAACCCAGCTCTGCCTGACCCCAGAGCACATGCTCTTTTCCCTACATTGCACTGAGAGGTCAAGAAGGAGAGGAGACTGTTTGGTGGACTGGAGGGATAGAAGGCAAAAAGAGAAGATGGAAAAGAAAGTCAGGACTGGGTTGAGGAGAGTGCTGAGTGCCCACCATGAGAGGGGGGAAATATGATGGAAGTTTCCTTCTGGGAAGAACCATACGATGATAGTTAACATGCATTGAGCCTTTAGTAAGTGCCAGGCCCTGTGCCAAGGACTGACCTACATTATCACATTAAACACTCAGAAAAAGAACCTCCTCTGACACAGAGGCTATCAGAATTCCCATTTTTCACATGAGGAAACCCAGACTCAGAGAGGTCAAGTGAGTTAACCCAAGATCACAGAGTCGATGAGTGAGGACACTGGGATTCAAGGTCAAATCTGTCTGGGGCCAGAGCTGTGCTCTCGACCACACTGCATCAGGCCACACCCAGTGATGGGAAGGGAGAAGGCCCAGGGTGAGGAGATCCATCAACACTCCCTGCGTGAGTTGTGTAGTGTTTGACTTAGGGCAGCGGAGAGGGAAAGCAGAAACAGGATCAGAGATATGAGCCAATAAGAGAGAAGATTGGACAGACTTCAGGAGGCAGTTTGGGGAAGTAGTTAAAGCTCTGGTGTTTGAATCAGACCATCGTGTATTCTAGGCTCAGTTCTGAAGCTCAGTTCTAGATTGGACAAGTCAGTAATCACTCTCAAACTCAGCTTCTTCATCTGGATATTGACATGACCAGTCTCTTGGTGTTGTTCTAAAGCTAAAGTCCATGAAGTCATGACTAGTGGCTGGAACACAAAGTGGGCCTAATAAATCTTAGCCAGTCAAATTAAATATGAAGAGGATGGATGGGGCAAATCCAGACAAGTTTCT